ACTATACGGGTTACTGATCGTGGAGCCGCTTCTGCTTTCACGATGTTGCTGCAATGACTCACTGTAGAAGCAAGGTTTCAATTTTTGGAAGTGTGAAACCAATCTATAATAAGTGTATAATCGCATATATCCGCCAATAATTGCGGCTTAGATCATGACAGAGACCGTATGATTCACAAAGATTTTTACATATTTTCTTTCAAATACCGTGACTCAATTGGAGATCAAGTGAAAATAAATGGCTGTTTTATACAATCTATTGTGTCACCTTTATTGCGCGGCTCTTTGTTCTCTTCTCTCTTTTATAAAGAATTTATATCCCGTTTTCTCGTTTTTTGTGCCACTATTGTTCAAGAAGCCATGTCTAGAATTAAAAAAATGCAATGAAATTTGGTTTAACGTCCTACTTTTCTGCACCAAACAGATTAATAAAAACGGGTATGCAGTTTCGAATTCTGGAAACTGTGAGGGTCCGATTGATGTGGTTAGGATATTTGACTGGCGTGGGGTACTACTCCAAGAATATTTGGAAAATATCGAGGTGTCAGTGATGATAGTGGCGTATATCTGGACGCGAATATAGCATTCAATTTCATCATTTATATCCCCCCAACCAACAAAAAAGCTGCAGTTGACACCTTGTATAGAAACCGAATATTGAGTGGAATTTTTATAATGTTATTTAGTGTTTAGTGGTTGGTGGGTGTGTGTGTGGGGGGGGGGGGGGGCACCGCTGTTCTTCTGGAATGAGTCTTTAAATTTCCCGGCCTCTCTTCAGGGAACTCATCAAGTCTCCTAAACATTATTGCAGTATTTTGGACGTTATAGTCAATACATCAAAATATAGACAGACCATGTTTCCTGACTGCGGCTTCATAATGGTTGAAGCGGACAAAGATAATTTTTACTAGATTGTTTTAACACGTGCTCTTGTTGTAATCCCCTTTAAAATCGCGAATTGACTGTCTATAAAAGGTGAGACCTTCGCCTTTAAAATCGCGAATTGACCGTCTATAAAAGAAAAGTCGAAGACCCAATCACCAATAGAATTTAATGATTTATGAATTAAGTCTTTGTATCATTAATATATTCCATTAAACAATGAAATATTTATTTAATACCGGGAATGGTTGTGATTGACAAAGGATTAATATATACCCATCAATCATCAGCTGTATATTACACAACACCGTATCGAGACAGACTGAAATATCGACATCTGTATCTGACTCCATGATTCATTAGACAGTTATTCCACATAAATATTTCTCACAATATTGATAGACGACATTTATTAATAACTGAATAACAATGCCTTGTAACAATCTCTAGTCTATACACTGAATAGTATAATTAGGGGAGGATTTTGATAACAGTTTTGAAAACGTTAACTCCTGGACTAAGAAATGATTTAATCTGAAAATTTAGATATTATCGGTGATATATCACGCAATGATTCCAAGACAAGGTGATTGATTACGCCTATGAACAATAAGAAACAACCCATTGTTGAATAATTAACTATTTGACAAGAAATCTCGTAGACGTCTTCGTGACGCTTCTGGATATGATAATAGTGAGTTGAACTGTTGAACGGGCAGTAGAGATTTGATGAATTTATAAATTTTATTGTTATCTTTACACCATTTCTTATTAACGTAGATTAATTACAACTCGTAGTTAGAATAACCAATCTGTTCATACACAATTCATGTTATCTAAAGGTGAGAACAGCAGATATTAAGTAATGGTCGTTCTATTTATAAGTTTATCCAAAGAGAGCCCGCTTATACTAGCCTAGTCGGTGCAGAAAAGAAGGACGTTACACTCTATTTCATTTATTTTATCCAAAGACGTAGTTGGTATTTTACTATTATTGGAAAGTCAGTAAATGTGGAATTTCCCAAAAGCTTTGTCCATGTACTCCCAGAAATTATATACTCTTAGGGATCAGTTATTTTAATGGCATGTATCAAATAATGGACAAATAATTATTGTCGATGTCTGAATACATTTTCCACATCAACAAATAATGCCACAAATAGGCTTTAGTCTTTCAAAGAACAACTATTTTTTCAACGTTATTTCAAATTTCTTCACATGTTTTCTTCGAGATGTTGTTTTAACTGTGCAGCAATAACTTAGTCCACCACGAACATACAATATCTATCTCAACAATTTAATCAAACAGTAAGGTGGGACGTATGGTGTCTGTAAGGCGTAAACACGTTCATGCTTATGGTTATTCATATTTTTAATAAAATATGGCACCACCAATCATTAAGTGTTATGATTAATCGAAATACAACAGTCCCATAATACACAATATCTAACGTGTCAGTTTTACTAGTGGAACCTGGTCCCGCCACAAAACAGCGATAGTTGAGGACAGACAGAGGGAAATGACGCGAGTAGAATTACTTTAACCAACCCATGGAGTTATAATCCAGGAGCTAATGACAAAAAATGTTTGACCCCAAATAGAAATCAGTTGGTCAGAATGGGCACTGCTGGGGCATTTAGCTACAGCAGCACCTTAAAAATTAGGACATAAGTTACATAGCTAAAACTTTCTAGAATCATTTTGACCACAGCCCGTTTAATTTAATCTTCAAGTAATATCATTCTCAGATTTTCAAATAAGGGTTTAGATTTTCAGTACAACGGTATTTTTACACTTTCTACTTCGACATCACCACTTCTTAGCCCCACGATATCTACACAGGAAAGGCCTCATCATGAAATAAAATGCAATTAAGGTTACATAGGTCAGTCCAATTAGTCATGCATGTATGTTTCTAAGACAACGTCGTTGCTATATACGAGAACACAGAATAGATTAATATGGTTGATCCAGTGGGAATCGTATCTCTACGGGTCAAAGACAACCCGAAGAATACAAAAGTACTACATAAATATTCCAGCTTTCTGAACTTCTTAAATGGGAAGTAGTATTTGGTTCTTTAGAGAGACTAAGCATACCCTGATTATGGGCGAGGGATGATACTATAGCAGTTTGTTCAATTTACATTTTTACATCTGCAAAAACTGGAACATGTATATACACAGATGCATTAGACAAGTATCAAGAGGTTCACCTTCACAATATTGCAGAATGCGCATGGTACCATATTTCCAGTGAATTTGATGTATCAATAAACTGTTCAACGATGGAGATACGAAAGTTGAACCGACTGAGTATGAATGCTGCGGTGTATGAGACTTACGAGGACTGGCTGAAAAGTTATGTCTATCTGTGAAAGACCTGTACGAAGTCGATTGTTTCCATTTTATGTATCTACATAGTCCTCTTCCAGGTGTACACACTTCTGCCAACGATGGTGCAAGGCCTGGATGCCGGCCAGAAAGAAATATCCTTTAGCCACCTTAAAAAAACGGTCATCAGTACTAGGGAAATGACGCCCGGCTAGATCCTTTTTCGTTTTTTGGAAACAGGCCTCATCCATGGTTATCAATCTGGCCAAAAAATTATCAGTATCTGCTTCAAAACGGGACGTCAGGAATCTGAAATGTTTCTGATCCACAATCAAGAGCTTTGGCACCCATAAACTTTTCTGATTCCTAGCTCGTTGGCGATACTGTGTTCAACCCTCTCATGAGAGATGCCCACTATTACGAGTGGCCAATCGTCGATCAGCCATTACTGTGTCAATGATGTCATGCATCCGGGTAATTTTTTCTTGAATGGTTGCATTTGATGGCCTTCCAGGACGCGGGTTATCGCCAAGGCTTTCTCTGCCACGCTTAAATTCCGCAGCCCATTTCTTTAAAGTGGAAAAGGAAGGGGCATCATCCCCTAAAGCGTAGATGGTTGCAGGGGGTTAGGTGGCCGAATGGTTAACGCGTGAGCGTTGAATCGTAAGGTCCTTGTACGTAACAAGGAATAGTGTCGCCTGTCCAACGAATTATTAAAATATATATATGAACCGTATATAAAATGGCCTTGTTTGTGTCGAGTGCACGTTAACCCCGGGGGTGCGGTTGGGTGGGGTGGCTCGGTGGGTATGGCACTGGCTGACTAATTAGAAGGTCCCAGGTTCAAGAAAGTTCCTCTGGGTTTTCCCTAGCGAGTGGTACATGACAGATGGTCTGGTCGTGAAAAACCTCTAGGAGTTTGGGTGGTTTCCAAACCAAGGTTCCGTTTGCAATTTGTAGGGCCGTAGAACCGCTGTCTCAGAAAATTTCCCGCGTAGTACAGTGCATGCAGTCTTCATTACAATTTGTATTGTAATATATGTCCCTGTCGTCAAGATTCAAAATTTGTAACGAACGCCAAAGTTTTTGCGATCCTATACAAAATTGCCGACGGATACACTAATACCATGAGATTGAAAAAAAACGCAGACAAATTTATTGAATAGAACTTGTATCGTCTGGAACCCAATTTCGGGCAAATTAATTTATGAAAGGCGCCGATTAAATATATATTTTTTAAAAAAATATATGTTAATGCTGAAGTAAGTGTCTCATATTATCAAGGGAATCATTTATCAGGAAATGTCAAAAAGATTATGATACAATCTCGGGTAAGAGTATTTGGATATAACACCGATATTCGACGAAGAGTAGACGGGAACGCCACTGTCCGGTCAAAATTCCGTTCATAGCAGATTGTTTGGCTTCTACCGTCTTCATAAGCCTGGTTGGTGAAGACATTCGGCTTATACTGTGTTCACAAGCCCGATTGGTGCAGAAAAGTAGGACGTTAAAGCACATTAAAAATCATTGTTGTTACATACGGGTTGAAGGGAGACAACTACAGATATACACCGTTAAACGGTGTTTTCGCAAGTTTAAATGGAAATATTATTAGCTGGGTGATCTAGTAATCTAATTTAAATTTTGGAGTATAACTTTGAATTGAGATGAATTAATGCGAATCTACATCTCGTCAGCAATTTACTTAGTTTAATGATACCACTCACACAGAAAACAATCTCTACTTTTAAGATTTAAAATATTTAATGATGCATAAGAATAAAAAACAAAACAATAGTAATAAATCTGTTGAAAACATCGTCACATCAAGGGGGGTTGGATGGCTGAATGGTTAGCGTGCGCGCGCTGTATCATGAAGTCTGTCATTGAGTCGACTGGCGTGGTTTCGAATCCCCGGTTGTACGTGACAAGGAGTAGGGTCGCCTGTCCAACCTCGTGGGTTTTCTCCGGGTCCTCCGGTTTCCTCCCACTGCTAAAGACCCCTACGCGCAAGCGAATTATTGAAATAAAATTAAACCATATGTTAGTCCCGAAATGACCTAGTTTGTGTCGAGTGGACGTTAAACCCCATTTCTCTCTCTCGTCACATCAAAACAAAAAATATACACACGAAGTAAATAGTTCGTTTTTATTTCTGTTATTTAAGTCGTGTATTGTCATGTCAGTATCCAATGATAAATAATAATATTTTTCTTTTCTTTTTATTAACGCATGAGAAAATCTGTGTATGTATAATTTACTTATATTTAATATCTTATTTAACACAGTTATCGTTAAATTGAAGACATCTGCGTATGTATAATTTTTATTCAGTATTTTATTTTTCATAGCTATCGTTAAATTGAACATATTTGCGTATGTATTTGCTTATATTCTATATCGTGTTGAACATAGCTATCGTTAAATTGAACTACATGTATATTAAATAAGATATTGAATATAAGTAAATTATATATACGCAGATATCTTATTGAACATAGTTATCTTTAAATTGAATATGGTTATCTTTAAATTGAACATAGTTATCTGTAAATTGAACATATCTGCGCTTAATATCATAGTTATACTGAATATTGATTGTAGCAAGGTAGTTAACTAAATTTATCAATTATGTCACGGGTTCATAAGTTTAAAAACATAGTTAAATAACATTTAGAAACTTGAAACAATTATACCTTACGAGGGTAATAAGCATAACAAAAAGCAACATTTTATTAATAAACAGCACTAATAATCTATATAATTTTTGCGAAATTATAAAATCTGAAAACAAAAAAAGTAACAACTACATGTATATCATAAATATATCAATACAATGATGTTTCAAATTTTAAATATGAGAGAAAAAGTTCTTCCTTGAACAATAATTACCATTTTTAGGACTAATACCAGTTTTTCAAAAAGGATATTTCACGACATATAATTATAATTTAGACAACTTTTAGCAATAATTAACACATATTAACGTTAAGGAAATGATGTGCCTGGGTTTTGTCTAGGAAACGTATACATCTCTTCTTCTTCTTCTTCTAACCTGGCACCTAGGTTAAAGAACCCTTGCTTATAATTAGCTGATGCCCCTTTTACCTATTTAATAAATATAAATATATTTCAAATTATCTGATATCAAAATCAATATTTTGTTTCATACTTTTATACCAGGTGGTGGGGTGGGGCCACACATCCTCGAGTCATTTGTCTGAGTTTGGTCCTCGTTTCTAGTTATTTATAAACAATATTTTATTTGAAATATGATAGCGGAACAGGCTAGACCTATGTTGACCACTCTCAAGAATTTACACAATTAAATTTATTTAATGTCCAAACAGAACATATTATATACATACAAAGTATAACTTGGATATGAAACCAAAACAAATTATTTTATAATACAAATGTAATAATACAGCAAAGTATCCCCCCCCCCCCCACACACACACACACAGAACCACAATGATAACTCCTCAAAAGTGAAGTGGTATTAGGTGTTTATACACCATCCTTGGTAATCGAGATACCAATTTTGGAGGGGGATCAAGGTGGCTAAGTGGGTGAGACGCTGGCTCTTTAGCCTGGAGGTCGGGTGTTCGATCCCTGCATTGGCCGAGAAAGTTCATACAGATTTTCCGGCGTGGTTCCCCCCTTGTCAGTGATGCAGGACGGAGAGCCGGACAAGAACCCGTTTACACATTGGCGTGCACGTTAAAGATGCCTTGTCAGTTGGAATTCGATAAGAGTAGGCCGTAGTGCCGCTGTCCGGGCAAAATCACACTGTATGGCGTATGTCCGTCTTCATTAGCCCAGTTCGGAGCAAAACAGTAGGACGTTAAACCCCATTTCATTTCATTTCTAATTTTGGTGATACATGGATGCTTAGATTATCCAGACAATGTTTATTTCATGTCTTTGCTAATAACTAATAAATTTATCAAGTTTACAACAAAATATTCTTTTGTTCTATAACTTTTAAAATTGTTAAAAAAAAATTTACATCAATATTGGAAAGAAAATCAATACACTTTATTTTTCAGTTAATGCGCCCTTTTTAAAATTAATCTATAAAACACAAAACTTGCTATTTATCTATTAATAATGTAAAAACTTACATCCATACTCTTTTCAAACTGATCTTTAAATGATTCTAGAATGTTGTGTACTTGACTTCGTTGTCTCCTAGCTTCCATTTCTTCAACTAAATTGGATTTTAAAAAATGCGAATAATATTAAAATGTCTGATTTTCATGAAATAATAACCACTTAGTGATAACAATGAATTGTAACAATAAATACATAAGCGCTTGTTTTGTCTATTCTACATGTCCAACAACTGTTAATTTAAACAAGTCATCTTGAATGCAGACACAACAAGACCATAAGTAGTATTTGAGCATCATTTCCTAGCGTTTAACTTTTTTTTTTCGTAAACAATATTTTATGACTCATCTCCAAGTTATCGAACTAAATGAAGAGTTCTTCTAGAAGAGGCCTTTCTATTGTATCCCTAGTAGTTGTATGTTTATATAAGGGTGATTAACAAATACGAATAACGATTTAAAAACTCATATTCAGCTTTACGAACCAAATTCATTTTCTAGGCAATAATATTTCTAAACCACTGTATACACGTGGACATGGAAGACTATAGACGCAGAGATACACTATGTATAGATATACATTACATACCTGCACGTTCATCTTTCTTTTGTAGAAATCCAGATGGTATCCAATCACTGATAAGACTTTTATATATACCAGTTAGAACATTTACAATGCCATACGGTGCCGGGATACTGGTGACACTAGATCGTACCACTGTCATACTGTTATTCATAATAACTTGGAACATTGTTAACAGAATAAAGATGACAAAGAAAACCAAAGCAAAGAAATATATAACAGAATATTCATCAGACTGAACCAGACGTTTTCCTAACTGATTTTTGCCCAACAGATAGATGAATATAGTTATAGCAGTATCAAAAGCAGAACGGAACTGATATAGGGACGTTGCGAACAAAACATAACCAGAGGCTATAAAGGCAGAATAGAAAATAGCAAAAACGCTCGTGAAACCTATCAAATCTTTAGCCGATACCCTCAAGACTTCACCGATCATAGTGAACCTTCTGTTGTAGCCTAGAATGCGCAGCATACCAATCGTAGCCGTAAACACAAGGAAGCTCAAACCATAGACAAACAAAGCATCCCATAAAACGATGTGTTCAAAATTCACAAACTTTTTGGGATCAACCCTAAATATCTCCAGGGTTTTGCTAGTGTAAACCTCTCTTAAGATGAAGAAAACAATAGTAACCAGGGTCGTGATCAAGGTAATCAAATCTACTATGTTCCAGAAAGACCCAAAATAACCCAGACGTTGTTTAAACAATCGCTTTAAGCACTTAAACCCAAAAACAAACAAAATTATGACAACTATAACCTCACATAGAATAATAAATGCCCCAATAGGGCCTACATTCTGAAACACGCGCAATGTGCTGATGTGCTTCCAAGTGATTACACTTCCAAATTCTGGAAATTCAGCAATCAATCGAACAACAGTCAGCAAGTTGTTGTTGGCATTGTATAATGAGAACTCCACAAAGACAGCCCTTGTCTGACGATCTAGCCAGCCATTCGTCTTTATTTCTTCTATCATTGCCTTTGAAATATCTTTATTTATACTCAGTTCTAAGAAGTATCCGCCACCATCGTATACCTCTAGGTTACCAGAAGTTGATGAGCCCCAGCTTTCTTCAGAAGTAGTATAAAGCCAGGCATCAAGCGTGCTAGAAGATAAGCGCACGTCAAGCGCACATGGCTGCGGCGTCCAACCTGGACAGAATGGTGTTGTCTCCTCCTTAGAGCTTGAATAGGGCCAGTAGTACTTATAATTTTCCATTAATTTCCCATATTTTGAACCATAGAATGGAATGGGTCCTGAAATAGGAGTTTGTAAGTATAGGTATATTAAAGTTAATTTTAGAAGCACATGGATAGACAAGAACTTATTTTATTTAAATTCGCCCAAAGCATGACGATTCCAATATTGCATCGTTAATAACAACACATCATTGATTACAAATCATAGTTCCTGTTCTAAAACTCAAAACAATACAAATGCACAAGTTTTCAAAACTATCCACAAAGTTATTTTAAATTCGATGCACTAATCATAATTTCCACTTAGTGTCCACTTTATGGCATGACAAACAAGTCCAATGAAATTTTAAAAAGAATCTAAAAAATTCAGACATATGGAACGTTTATATGATATCATCAAAATACTCTAAACGTGTAGGGTCTCTTAAACTATTATGAACAAGCTGACGGTCAAACAATTGTGATAATTATACTCGGGTATAAACTATCGGTGTATAGAAATCATGTATCGACAAAAAAGTGGATTACCTTGCTGTGTTGAATGCTGTTCTTCTGCTAAATGAGGTGATTGATCAATTAGGATTTCGGTAATTGCAATTTCTTAACCCATGGTGTTAAGCCACCATTTGTTTGTCTACTAGAGGGGTGATAAGGATATATATTAAATATATACACAAGTGCCACTCAGACTTACTTTGTTTAATTCTCACTTGGCGCAGTCGCGCTGGCCCAACTCGGAAGTTAACATGATCGTCGAAGAAAAGTTTTCGGCGCCAATCCAAAGCATTGCCTCTAAAATCACCAGTCGGAAACATAGCAGGAATCATCGTTTTATCAACCCATTCAAAGAAATCATCGTGTGATTTGATCTGCATGATAGCAAATAAAAATACTCATCATTAATATTAGAATACAGTATATCTGTGTATTGTATCACTGACTACGTAACCATGTGATTTTCAATAGTTCTTGTGCATTATACTAAATTAGTGCACTTATTGCTGCTTATATAACTTAATTGTTTCTTTTCTGCTTTTATTTATAATCAATAAATTACCTGTTCAAAACTATCGGTAAAGATGACTGTTTTAATATGTGAATTGAATGCAAAGGACTGCGTATCTCGGTTCCCGTAACAAACACAATATAAACCAAACAAAAACACAGCATACAGAATTAAATCCAAGAACACCGCCTGTGCTTTCAATTCCTGTTTTCTTCTTTCTTTGGCTTTTTCTAATAGAGTCTCGGGTATCGGATCGGGTGGAAGCTGGGACAAATCTATAAAAGACATTTTCATTAGCTTCTATAAAGGCCCTGTACACTATTGTATGACATGCGTTTGAATGGAAAAAGAACTTCTGATATCCTTAGTAATGATCGTCATAAACCGGTAACCGCACCTCCTTTTCGAGAAAAATTGTCTTTCAGAACGGATTACGAAAAGTTTTAATCAAATCGCGTATTTATGTCTATTCTAGAATGTAAAGCTATACCCTCACAAACCCCCTTAGATTTCTTTATTAATCAACATTGTTGAAGGTTATGGTTTCCGTAACGAGCAAGCTTTGTAATTCCCAATGTTTCGGTTTTAGTAGTCTATATATATAGCTTATACGGAGCAACGATATTTATTAACAATTGCATTATAACGAAGAAGAGGATATTCAAATAAGCTTACCGACTTCCCCTAACCCAAACTTCTTCACGTCTGTTTTCACTTTTGACACATCCACTTTACCGCTATGGTTATATGGGCTTCTAGCACACAATGCTAATAACACGGATATCATTAAAACCTGCGATAATCAGCAAAAATTACATTAATTTCTAATAACGTAGCATAATGATATCGTTTATCAACTTTAGGTATAATTAATTTTCTTTATGGATTTTTCAATAAGAGGTGATTAATCTATATATCTTGCAGGAAAATGAAATGCATACCTTCATTGGGTCCAAGACAAACATATTTTCAACAAACGCCAAAAAGAATGAAGTCAACCATTCTTCTGAAATAGGTTTACCCCACTGCATGCTGTAGAGCAGCAAAAAGAAAGCACACACCATAACAATTACTGCCACCAATATCCAAGCGATGATAATACAATAGTGAGGTAACAGTTTCTCATCATCCATATTGTCCAGTACTTCATCACCCTCAACAACGACCAGATTGTCGGATTTACCAGGCTTCTTGCAGCATAAGCAGCAACCCGACTTGGGCTTTACTTTGAAATAGTTTTTACTAGGTTTAGATGATTTAAACAGGAACACTAACAGGACCGTGGGTGGAACTGTGATGATGACACTGATAAATGAGGTAAAAATAGTCGACATAGAGAATCGTAGGATTCCAATTTGAAATTCTTGCCTGACAGTCTCCTCATCTGTGGTTTCATTCTCCGATTCAAAGAACATGGCATTGACTATCATGGTAAGAAACAGCAAAGCAAGACAACACGAAACTCTTTGGACCCTCGAGAATGTACTTTTATCTGGTCTCATAAAAACAGACAACCACAAATGACTATCTGTAAGGTTAAGCCTGGCGTGTGACGAGAAAAGTTTATCAAATGTCATTAAATCGTCTTGACTGGTGACAGGTACCAATCTATCAACCATGCCATCATCTTTATCAACACCCAACCATCGGTTGTTTTCAAATATATATCTGAAAATTTAGTAACGAAATGTCACTGAATATTCTCAACATTTATATCTTATAATATTTATGTAAAACGACAATGAATTACTCGTTAATCCTCAAAGGTATATACTGTTCTTTAGATTGTATGTTGCTTGTCCGATTCACTATATTGAAAATCATGTCATACATTGTTCTACAAACTTGATTAGCGAATAATGGACGGCTACAAATTAATATGTGCATCTGCTTTTAGACGTTTGAAATGAGAACATACACACAATTAAACGTTATAATTTTGAGAATTAAGAGTCGTCCTCCTAACAGATATATCCAACTTCTGTGCAGAAACAGTGTTTGAATTATTTATAAAGAAAAAGAAAACATAGTAAAATCTAAATATAATCTTATAACGTCATTACAAAAATAACCAAAATTGGCCACGCTATATGTACAAATAGTTTTGATGATAAACAAATGTTGTCATGCTCGAGGCCTTCTACACTACATTCATAACATGCATTAGTGATTTTACCTTTTTTGGTTTTGTAAATCCTGAACAATCATTTTTCCTAAGAACCAAGACGCGGATGCCCCTCTTCCCGTGTTATCATGCCATACCCTGAAGTACGACAAGTCTCCTAAATCCACCGATGTAGAACATATTAAGTTCATTACACTGCCTGTATCAAAGTTCTGAAAATAATTGGAATACTGTATATGCAAGAAAACGATCTAGTATCTTGACATTCTGCTTCAATTAGTACGTCATATTTGTTTTATGTCGTTATAAAGTGCCTTGCAATATGCTCTGGCATTTAAGATTATTTGTTCTATAATTGTATGCTGTTTTATGTGCACATATTCGTTAGAGTTGGATATCAAGTGCACTGAAAATGGATGAAAATAACTCACTCTTTTTCCGTCATAAAGAGATCGGGCACCGGTATCACCATATTCTCCTGCCAGTACAAAATGAATACCAGACTGTGTTCCAGCATTTTTTCTTAATCCAGTATAAACAGTTATTAGATAGAAATACTTGTCATCTACCAGATTATCTCGTAAATAACCAACTCGCCACTAAAATTAGAGTGTGGAGAAAACAATATATCAAAATCATAGGTCAGAGGGGACTTTGGATACAAGATACATGTATATTAAGGATTTATTTTTTTTGTAGATTTTGATTGCATGAACCTGAATCTAGATATCTCGTCGTTAACAGCTAGCAGTCCCACAAGCGGCAAATTCACCATTTAAAGGAGTAATCCCCTGACAGTCATCTTGTAACATACAAAGGTTACCAAACAATTTGAAATGGAATGGGATTTAACGTCCTACTGTTCTGCTCCGACTGGGTTAATGAAGACGAACACGCGCCATACAGTTTGCTATGAGGGAAATTTTGCTCGGGCAGAGGCACTATGGCCTACTCTTATATTGAATTACAATTTCCAAGGGATCTTTTACGTGCACGTCATTGTATACACAGGACCTCGGTTTTTGTTCCATCCGAACGACTAGACAGCTGTCCTTGTCAGGTCCTGCACCACTGACAAGGGGAAACCACCTCGGAAAATCCCAGTGCAGGGATCGAACACGCGACCTCCAAGCTAGCGAGCCAGCGTTTTACTCACTTAACCACCATGGCTCCGCAAACAATTTGAAGAGTAACAATAATAGGTAATGCCTCGAGAGTTGTAAGATAAAAAAGTTAGGAAACATTTTTGAAACGTCCTACTAATCAGTAACAATGAAATGAAATAAAATGGGGTTTAAATTACTACTGTTCTGCATCGACTGGGCTAATGAAGACAGAATCACCGACAAGAGCCGACGATAGGGTGGATTGTGTAGGAAATGCACATCTATAACATATATTTCCTTGTGTTATTATTGGGACCGTTTTTGTCCATAATTTATTACAAAGTTTTATGAAATCATACAATATGCATATCCATAATATATATTTCTTCGTCCGCCACATTTGGCAATGCATTATAGGCGCTATTGCCAAACAAAATGGGTCTTGTCGGTGATTATATAGGCCGATATTGAATGCATGGATCCAGATAACATGTTTTAACAAGAGTCTGACAAACAAGGGAATTACTATCTAAAAGAGTAAAGACAGAAGGAAATCCCCCCTGGAGTTATTTTGTACGATTAAAAAAGTTGTTGAATAAAAGATTGTTGTCGTCAATGTCTCGTCATTGTCTTATTTTATGTATGAAAATAAGCACACATTTCAATAGTAGATAGTATAATATTATATATTATGTACTCCAAGTTTACTTTTGGCACGTGTCATTAACCAATAAATCGATCAATAAATAGGTTATTGTTTGTTAATGTGCTCTTATACTAAAATATTGATAATAAGAAGTTATTACAGAACCCTATGTAGTAGCTTAAGCGTCGACAGCGTGTTGCCAATAGTAATAACCGCAATCTTAAATCAGAAACAAAAGAAATCCATTACTTAATGTCCTACATGAACTACGCATTGTAATTAGCTATAATTATGTTAGCGAATCATAAATTAGATGAATGACACATATTGCAACTACTTGATATTTCTTCTGGGGGAAAAAGAAGAATAATACTACATATCAGGTTATAGCGCGTCAGAATCGACAAACCGAATAAAAATTTTCTAAATACACTTACTCTATCCAAATCTTTTTCATCCATTCTTCTGGCCCATATAAGAATAAAACCATACACAATAAGTACTGCTATCAATGTTCCATAAACGGCAGCGTTTGAAATGTCAAACTTTGTCCAGATGACATCAAAGTCGATGGTGTTCGGTGGTACGTAGAAAGCGCTGGCAAAGGCTGTACCGGGTGGATCGTCACACACACATATAGTTTCGTCTGGTGTGGAATATGGCGAAACCTGCCGAAAATGGCGTATTATTTAGAAAATAAAACTTAATGATCTATTCCCCAAATGAAATATAATATATATTCAAGTAAGCCAAATTAACAATTTATCTAAAAGTCCGGTATATATTGTATTTGGGTTTTTAAATCCAGAACCATAATTCTCACTGCTACACCAAACGAACACCTTTTAATTGGAAACCATTGGAAACTGCTGAAATGATGTATATAGCCCATTGCAATTGATTCGGGACATAGACCCCGGCGTTCTAAAAAAAACCCAACTAAATACCTACAGTGCAAGCTTTTGGGTCCCATGTCTCTACATCATCATCCCAGACTCTACATCCGTCAGTAGTTAACAATACACCATAGGCATTACCAGAAAATGATGTGTTAATATGCACATTAGATAGTGGATCGGTACCATTTACTGAAAAACATAACATACCACAACGAATGAATGTCAAAACTAATTAAAGCTAACGTATACAGTTACTAACGTGCACGACTTTTTCCTCATAAGTGACAATAAATCCTAGGTGCGCGCTTGTACGGAACTGAAACCACGATTGTTTGGAATGTAGCCTTTCTAACAATTGAAACATAATGTTACTACTGGTGAAAATATTAAATCTTTATCTGGTTCTTACCTTTGAATTGTAAAAATAAAAACTGTACCTGTTGTATTTGTCACAGAAAGACTTCGCCTTGTTCTTGGTAGACTATTCAATTCAGAGTCGGGGAGAGGTTCATCTGTAGAAACAAATAAAAGAAAGTGGAGTATTTTGTTTATAGAATGTTTAGCACTGTCTCTATTAAAACACACACACTTTTAAAAAGGGTCATTTTAAGCTTTGCCATATATTATTTTATAAACAAAAATGTTTTTTTCTTGTATCATGTTTTTGAAAAACTTCTGAAATCAATTCACAAAACTTACCTTCCATGAATAAAAGACCAACAACAATGATACCGGTTTCCTTAAAGGAATTTCCCGGAGCTATCATCTTATATACCTGTCCACCTCTTAATGTGTCTAGAGTTGCCACTGTCTTGTAATCATATTTATTGCTTTTTGGGGTTTTGTTCATGCGCATGTAGGCGACAACACTCCCTACTAAATTCGGCAAGGCAACATGTATAACTGCAGTATCGGTGACTTTCCTTAGCTTAAAAGTGTGGTAGTGCATGCCGGCATCGCCCTTCACTGTTTCATCTGCATCAAAAGTTTTAAAAGTTGGTGGGTTCTCATTTTTCAACTTTAAGGTCATTGGTATTTTCAACATTGACCCATTAGCATTCTTGACCTTCATTTTTATAACAGGTGATTCTATATCGTATGATGAGTCGTTTTTACCCCATGTGTAGGGGTTGTTCTTAAACACAGTAGCCTATAATAAAGTTACAGCATAAATAATAGTACAAACTGCATATGCACTCTTGAAATAAAAAAAACTTAAATTCTAAACGTTACGGCCACTTTCGAAATATCGTCGAAATTAAATGCCTTAAAAGAGTCCATTGCGTAAATGGTTGATTACAATCTGAGTGATACCGCGCCCCCTGTAGATTCCCTGCCATCGATATTATTTAGTAAATAGTTTCATTGTGCTGATCAGAATAATACACGTTTACCTGTATATCTAAAGGGTCATTCAACGGCAATCCCGTTTCATTAGCCGTTGGAATATTAACAGTAAAATCACCCGCCACAACGGCTTCTTTAGACAGCTGATCTGGATTCAATTTTCGCGCAGTAAGTAACATGTTCGTTTTTACGATAGTTTTAGCTTCTTGACCCTGTACCAGTAAACTACTTAAGGCATTTTGACTTTTGTCTAAACTATCCTCCAGATTTCCAATCAAAGATCGACTCTGAAAAATATCATACACTTCACAAATTTTTGTTATTAATTGATAGTTATTTAAAAGGAACACCCGAGAACATATACGCCTTATTGATTTTAGTTGAACTCTATCATCTCCAGAACATGAACATTTGCATAATAAAAGTTTCGTTGGTCAACATCTGATTGCTGCACACACTGAAGCAACATTTAAGTGTTTTGTTCATTTAATAAACATTAAATTTTGAAACTAAGACAGCCATTTTTAATGATCGATCTTCACGGAACTGACCTCTGTTCTTGATAAGGGAAAATGCATTTAAACTTTTATAAACAAACCAAAACAGTAATATTAAAGGGCCAATCCCGATAATATTTTGGAGAATAAAACTGCTTAATTTTGTGTTAAAATCCCTTAAAATTCTCTACCTTAGGTCCGAGCAACTAACTCAACATATGAGATACGTTTTCAAACAACTTAAACCCGCCAGTCTTCATCTGGAAATGGAGACCGGTGCCCCAAGCGGTGTCTGGATGTAACCAGACTTTTATTTCATAAAAATAATGTGTAGGTGGAATTTACCTTTCGTTATCAAGTACAGCACATGGGTCATTCATTGTATAGACCTTTGACGGAACGGGAATCGATTATCAGGCCATCCAACGAAAAAATTTACCCGAAATCTTAAAAGGGTTACGTGTCCGGATAAGCAGTTTTGGCGTTCACGCCCAAACGACTCAATATTTTGAGCTGAAATTTTGAGGCAAGGTAAATACACCATTCCTCTATATTTTGGCGCTTAAATTTCATACGTATTCAGACTTTTATTTTTGAGACTCTGTTCAAATCGGGACAATCACTTTAATACGCTTATGTGTGAAGTTATTATTAACTACTTACTGCATTTTTCTGTTTCTCAACCTTTGCCTGTTCAGTTTCAGCTATTTTATATGCTAAATGTGCAGCTTCTTCTCTACTGATGCCATTTCCACCAATACCTGATTCTTGTACTTCTTGTAACATAAATTCTTCGGTTAAAACTGGTACACGCCCTTTTAAACGGGGCACTACAGTATTTAACACATTTTCCATCAAAGTGGTCATTCCTATAATTTATGAGAAATTCCCATATCAAATACAGTTCAGAAATATCAGTTGAAATTAGGAAAATGATGTAAAAGTCACCACTTATGTTCACATGAAACAGGGATATTTTGGTTCCAGTTTGTGTCACATATTGCGAACTCATTTTCATGAATATGATATATCAACAGAGGTATCATGTTCTGTAGTTCTGCTATGACAATCTTAGTCGTTTATTTTAAAATAACTTACCTGCTACAGCATCTATCATATGATCACTGGTAGGGTATGGCCGTCGATTGACAATACTTTCAAGCCGTTTTCCAGTGGACGCAGCAATATTAGCTCCCATCAACTATAATACCGATAGAAAACGAGGTAAGAGATAACAGCTATTTCGTTATATCACGAAATTCTGGAAATTGTACAGTTTTAACCCTATATAGGAATTTGGAATACTAATAATTGATCCGGGGAAGTTATTTTCAGCTTACATTTAAAAAAAAACTCCCCAAGATACATTTATAACCAAACAAGTCTAATTCTTTTATGAACAGGTTCAATTATTTTTAATCTAATTATTTCGCCCTTCGGGTGCCGCGGTGGCTCAGTGGATAAGATGTTGGTTCGCTAACCCAGGGGTCCCGTGTTCGATCTCTACGTTGGCCAAGAAAGTTCAAACCAATTTTCCGGTGTGATCACCCCCTTGTCAGTTCGCGTGCTCGTAAAAGATCCCTTGGCGTATGGTCAGTAGGAACAGAACAGTAGAACGTAAAGCCCATTTCATTTCATTTGTATTTCGCCTTTGAATCACGAAGATAAACACTTCATTAATTTAATGCTTTATGGTGACGGGTATCGTTCACAGACAGGAATGGGTGTTTATTCCTGTTTATGGACATGTACGTTATGTATGCAATACATACCATCATTTCTCTTTCTGCGTTCGAATTGCATATCACGATTCCTGTAATTCGTCATTGCCGATTTATTCGGAAAATAAAGTAAATTCCACAAAAGAGAGTATTTCGAATTCTAGTATCCAGAATTTTATTGAGCACAGGGGGTAACATTCTTAGTCATTATGATGCAGCTCTTACACATGTATAAGTAAAACTTATTCTTACCGCAGAATCTAAAGATGTAGATTTAGGGTTTCTCATGATATTAGCAACAGTTAAACTTAACTGTGTTACACCTTGGCCGTTTAAATCATCAACGTCTTCTTTGCGTAATTCCAATGCTTTCATTGTTTCCTTACCTACCTGGAAATAAATTAGGACTGGTAATTATCTTTCATAATGATCAGATGTTCTAGGATTAATGCTTAGGAAGCAGGGACAATGTGGATTGTGGGATCAGTATTTGCGAAATCGTTTATTGATTGTAACGGAATGTCGATGTTTAAACAACTTCTACGTCCCAAAAATAAGACCTGAACACAGTGAGGACAAGAAAAATTTTGCGGGCAAAATGTTTTGTTCGATTTTTATGTAAATAGAAGGGTTAGATAGATTCCTTTTACATACATCATATAAAGAACGTTTTTTATTTTGTAGTTGGAATGACGACCAATAACTAGTGTCGATTTGCTTAGAAAGGTGGTATGATATTAATCATCTCTTACCCTTGAAATTTCTTCTTCTGCGGCAGTATCTTTAGGAGTAATGAAATCAGAATAGAGTGTGTTCCAATCTGGTGCTGTACTGTTCCTACTTGTCTCTACTGTACTAAACAGTAAAGTGTTGTCTGGTAGTGGCTATATTGAAACATAAATTATGTATAGAAACCTTAGTGGATTTGAAAGGTATTTCAAATCACACATTTTCATTTTTAAAAAGAGCAGATTGGACAAAGTCAGGTAACTCCTGATTTTTTTATTGGCCAAATACATTCATAATGTCACAAAAATTATCTTTAAATGTTTTAAGAACCCCAAATATGGGACGCATCTAATTTCTTATGCTGATTCCTGGGTTGAACTTTGGATATATATTAATTCCACACTTACTATAGATTGGACGACAGATATAACAGAGTTTACGATTCTAGTAAATCGAACTGTACTTCCACTTAAATTTGTTTCCTCAATGGCACGTTCATTCTCTTGAACAATCGTTTGTACTTCACTGACAGGGTCATTAGCGATGGTAGCATTCGACAAAGGTACCGTTAACTAGTTTTGAAATAGAAATGAATACACATTATATATTTCGGGGTAATTTACGGTGTCATTTTATGTTTGCTGAAAGGGACTCATTACGTAAACTTAAAGATCACTAAACTAAATTTAAATCTAAATTCCATCCCCAGTGTGTGTAGTAGTATCGGACTTCCTTGCTGTGTTTCCTTTGTGATCGTAAATAAAACTACAGGTTAGTTGTTCCTACATCTTTATTGTTAAACTGGTTTGCTTCGAAGGTCCCTCGTTCTCAATAAAGCATAGATGGTAGCTGCTCGGAATATCTTTTATAACCCTCTTATTTCTATACGTTATAGACTGACCTTGGCGTTAATTTCCTTCCCAAATATGGAAAAAAACATCCTTATTCTCTCAAAACCGGGGGACATTACCTTGTTTAGTCTACCAAACACATGACATAAACAGATAGAATTTGATGGATATTTTGACAATGGTATGGATATTACCAAAATATCACTGTTTTTTTTATATATAAACATGTCCTCCACTTTCATTAGTACGTGGAATTTGACTCTATAGAAAGTGTTAATTTATTTTATTCAGTAAGCTGAATTGGATTGAACAACAGGCAAACGCCTATATAAGTTCTCTCCAGAGAAAGTGTTAACCAATAATTAGTTAAAGATACACTATGGTCTTAAGGCCCAAAGTATTACATATGCCCATACACTGAATTAAATAACAAATAAGTTCTTAATCGTCAACTGTTTTTGTCTTGTCGAGAGCTAGCTGTCCGAAACCAATAATGTGAGAGTAATTTAAGGTCGACATTCACAATGTTACTTCCTCTGAAAAAGTATCTTTGAAAACTTA